CCCCCCCTGGATCCGCCCTGGCGTCGCATACGATGTTTTGCATGTGTAAATGTAATTTAATTCCATAGAGTGAGTGCTTTTTACCGTTATCTTCTTATTTAACTAATTATTGTTGATAAGACGGTTTACAAATACTTACTCAGATGGCGCATATAATATGGAACAATAAAACAATGCTGCCTTTTGAGCTTGTTTACCAAGCGTGCTAGAAAATGTTCAAATGTTTGCTTCGGATCATTGGTTCATTTCCAGTTTTATTAATTTTTGGCACTGGAAGATTTTAGGCTCGTCCTACCAGCGCGGTTCAAGTAGGGAACCTTTCAGGCTCCATCATAATTCTTCAGTTTTCTTAAGTAAAGACACGTTTGTAGCTCCCGTTACCACGACCTGTACGCCATTGTTGTTGGAAAATCCCCCAAAATGGGGAGAAGCGGGCCGCTATGCGACAAAACAGCATCGGAAAATAGCAGGACGGGCCACATTTCAAGGGCAAGTTTACAACTTTTTGGAAAGGCCGGACAATTGGAAGTGCTTCATGTATCATATCGTAGTGTAAGTAGGCCTTTGTTGGCTGTCCATTGTTGCCGTTTGCTTAGATACTTTTGTCAAGCTGCGACTTAACTGAAAGGAAGTTTCAGGAAGTTGACATCTATAAGACACTGACAGTTTTTCCGTATTGGTTGCAAAATTTCACGCCCAAAAGTTGGCGTCTCCTAGCAACTTCGCTGATACAAATGAGCATGTTGTCAGTGAGCGCCAATGTCAGAATAGGCAAGATGACAGATTTTGAAATACCGTTGTATATAATTATATACGTCTACTAATACCGAAAACATCATTATTTCCGCAAGAAATTATATGTTTGCGCAAATAATCGCATTTTTAGCTTGGCATTTCATATAAGGCGCGAAAACGCTCGTGGGTGTCATGTGTCGTCTGCTTGTGACGTCACGACCTTATGCAGTGTGCACGGTGCCTATGTTTAAAGAGGGAAGTTCACAAAATATTATACATTTTGAGTGTTAAAAATGACTTACACATTTTACAAGTGCTGTGCGGGTCCTCTAAGCACAAACACATCAATAACAACAWYTAATAAATTGTTTGTTTTCGTTCTRATCAAGAAAWWAGTGAGATAAATGGCTAAAGTTCGCAAGGCGAAAACCATCACATATAAGCAGGAATACAAAACTTAATTTTTGTAAAAACCACTTTGATTTACATTGAACGGGTGATCAGATCAGACGGTTACGAGAATTAAATTTGTTAAAAACACATGCTTGCCTTAACATAAGTTTGATCAAAGTCCTTGAAGGTGTACCTAATTACAATAGCGTGTGGTTTAATTAATTTACAAGATTCTCTAATTAAGTAAATATACTTATTAAATATATGCCTTTTTATTTTCTACTCTATACTTTTATGCAGTAAATCTGACACATATTTTCATCAAAAAATTGTATAACTTTGTGTGTCCCAAAAATTACGTATGATATAAATAAAAACAAGTGTTAGCAATGAAGATAAATTAGATTGTACTTGCAAAGAAGTTTTCACGTGAGGAAATTCAGATGAGGAAAAGTCTTTATTGGATGCAAAGAACTGCTCCAACATTAACATATCAACTCTGGGCAAGTTAGGGCTGTTGGCCTTGATAAATCCTTGTTCCATCGTTGTTAATTCCTTTAACAGTTGATTCCTTTAGATTATTTAGCACAAATAAATTCTATATATATTCGTTATTACCACAGCTGATACATAGGCTGCGTTATTCCTTCAAGGGTCGTGACGTCATACTTTCTGATTGGCGTTTCAAGCAATATGGCCGACTGCTGCATTTTATACTTTTATTATATTAAAAATCTTGTCGATCCCATCATTTCTATTAGGAATGAGTCAATTTTTAGAATCCTTTCAACAGATATTTTTCTCTAAAACCATTATTTCTTTGATCCTTTTATACTGTCGTCATGCCTATTCGAGTTAATGTCACTTTATTTGTCTTGAGTGATTTTATTCGAAAGTTTACTAATTTCCTGCATAGTCCAAAATGGTCAGAGACTGAAGACAAGTTTGTGCCTGAAACGAGTTCTGTTCAGTGTTTATTTATGTGGCGCCATTCATAATTTAATAGATTATGACACCCATTGTATTAAAATGAATGTGACTGTTTACTATACATGCGAGTTTTTTTGGTAAATGTTTGTTGATGGGTTTTTCTGTTGCAGATTTATTTTGGTGCTAGTTTGCTTAATATTTAGTGTTCTATCGACAATCGATTCTTACTCAAATTTCGCGAATGAAACGCTATTTTGGATGGTAAGTGTGCTATGACAGAGTAGGTCTAGTAGCTTTTTAATTTCATTTTCATTCGCCGTAGGACTAGAGCACCAAAGCAATTTTTTGTGTGTTTATTCTAGTTGTAGTTTAATGATAGCTGCTGTAGTGAAATACACATACAGGGTGATTCAAAATTGGCAACATTCCTTTTGAGGGGTGACGGAGGCTCACTTGGGGAGTGCGAGAAAAATATTGAAAGTTTTTTTTTCGAAAATTTCCAGAAGATATTAAC